TAACAGAGAATAAAAAATTAAATAAAATTAGAAAAATAAAAAATATATTAGAAAAAAATAAAAGTGAAACAACAACAAAACAGAACCAGAACAGCAGAAAGAAAAAAGAAAATAAAGAAAATGAAAAATGTTTTAAATTAAAAAGTAAAAAATTCCCTGGTGCCTTCTCTATCAGTGTCCTTGCCCCCACAGTGAGCTACAGCATACCCCTGCCTCCCCAGTAGGCTTCCAAGACCTCTAGGTAGATATCTGGACCCACTCTGCCAGCCCCAGCTCTGCATGTGTTCCTCTCACCAGCGTCTGTTCCTGGAGCTGGCCCAGAGCACACATGCCCATGCAGGTCAGCTGGGGCACAGGCCTCCACAGGCTCACCCGCAGGGGCTGGCACAGCCAGAGAAGGCCTTGGAGGAGGCGGCACTTGACCTACCTGTACATGCATGGCCAGAGGAATCCCTGTCAGGGGCGGCCCCGCTGGGGCCGGCACAGCTGGAGAGGTGTTGGTAGGGGTGGGGGTGGGGGCTGGGGGGGCAGGAGGGTCAGGCTTGGGACCTGCCCAGCCGGAGGGGGCCCCAGGGGGTGGGGATTCAGGCCTGGGACTCCAGCAGGCTTGCCAGGGCCTGAGTGGGTGGGGGAGAGGCTGGCTACATTCCCCTCCAATCCCCTGATCCCCCTAAGGTCCCTCTCTATCCCTGCTGATCCATTCGCCGTGAGTGGCCTCTCCGAGTGTGGGACCCTCCCCCCTTCCCCAGCCCCCCGCAGGGTACTGTCACACCTCCACCTTTCTTTCCTCTTTCCTTCCCTCCCACATCCTACCTGGTCATGCAGGTATTCCTCCCATCCCCTTAGGTGTCCGAGGACCACTATCAGTTCCTAGTAGGTGCCCTAGTTGTGAGGAGACGCAAACTCCATGTCCTCCTATTCCACCATCTTGACTCTGTTCCACAATTCACTTTTTTTTAAATTTAAGGTCTTCATTGTATTTATTACTTTTTCCATTCAGCACCGTTAAGATCTACCCACGATCTGGGTATTTTGTAACTTCCTGTGATCTCCTTTTGAACTGAAGACTTAAAAAGTGAATATTATTTGGTTCCAAAGCTTGTGCTTTTTAAAACTGTATTTTTTTTACACCTTTATTGGAGTATAAATGCTTTACAATGGTGTGTTAGTTTCTGCTTTATAAAAAAGTGAATCAGCTATACATATACATGTATCTCCAAATCTCCTCCCTCTTGCCACAATTCACTTTTAATTATGCCCTTTATTTTTTGGTCCAGAAAACACTACATTAAACTGTCATCACTGCTCTCCCTTGAGTTGCCACTAATCAGATTCTCTTTCCCTGATTCTGCTTGTTCTGGGGAATCAGCAACCCAACTTTCCCATACGGGAAATGTTCAGCAGGGTCAGTAAGACTGGAGGAGCCTCCAGATGTTGTCTCTAAGTTCCCAGTTTGAGGGTCCACCCCTCAATATAGGACGAAATGGCCAAGTGGAATGAGCATCTTCTAAGAATCAGGAGTCCTGGCTCTAAGGCTTTGCTGTGGCCTTGGGAAGGCCATCTTGTATCTCCAGGCCTCAGATTTCTCATCTGTCAATGGAGTCTAGGGTTCCTTCCACCTCCCTCAATCTGGGACTCTCTGACCACACTCACAGCTGCCCGCACCTGTACACGATGTGGGTACACATGGTGATGTGTGGGGGCTGGCATCCAGTCTGACTTGAGCATCCGGGGCTGGCCAGCCAGGGCTGGGAGAAGGGGTGCTGCCTGTCGGTGCCTCACCAGCCACCTGAGACCTCTCTGCAGCATGATGTCCAGCTGAGATGTGCCAACTGAACCTCCTTACAAAGGCAAGCCTTCCTCCTGGTAGATGAGCACTGGCCTGAGGCTCAGACTCAGCCAATCAGAGCCTGTGTTGGTCCCCTGAGGGGCAGAGAGAGGATGGCAGCCAGGGCATCCCAAGTCCCTCTCCCACTGCCAGGCAAAGCAGTGGGGAGCAGAACTAGAAGGGACATCCGGTAATCACAGGTTAGTAAGTTACAAATGCATTTGATTTCGGGAGCTGCCAGATGAATTTTTGTTTGTGTGAACCATGTGCCTGGAACAACTGAATCAATCTCAGAATGTTTTGCAAGCCAGGGTCACCAGGGTCGCAAACAATGACCAGGAACCAGAGTGGATAACCTCAGTCTCTGCGTGTGAGGACAGATGGCCCTGATACCTCACCCCAGTTCTTAACTGTGTCTTGTTTCAGGAACCAGTTCATTTCTTCATCCAACAAATATTAATTAAGCACATATTGTGTGCCAGAAACTGTTCCAGACTTTGGGGATGCAGCAGTGAATAAAACAGATAAAGTCGATGACCTCATGGGGCTTACATCCCAGTTGGTAATAACAAGTAACATTAATTGTTGTGCTTTCTGTACCCAGGCACTGTTCTGTTTCTCTGTTTTATCGCCTTTTTTAAAAAAAAATTATTTATTTTATTTTTGGCTGCGTTGGATCTTTGTTGCTGTGTATGGGCTTTCTCCAGTTGCTGAAAGCGTGGGCTATTCTTCATTGCGGTGTGCGGGCTTCTCATTGCGGTGGCTTCTCTTGTCGTGGAGCACGGGCTCTAGGCACTCAGGCTCAGTAGTTGTGGCGCACGGGCTTAGTTGCTCTGCAGCATGTGGGATCTTCCCAGACCAGGGCTTGAACCCGGGTCCCCTGCATCAGCAGGCGGATTCTTAACCACTGCGCCACCAGGGAAGCCCTGCTTTATCGCTTTTAATACTTAATGCTATCTCATAAATAGTCCAAATTAAAATTTCACCAATTGTTCCTAAACCATCCTTCAGAGCATTTTCCCCTCGATCCAGAATCCAATTTAAGATCATATATTTCTTTAATCTGGAACAGTTTTTCAGCCTTTCCTTGACAGACACATTCTTAACATACCAAGCACATATACCAGATACACACAGGAATGATCTCCCATTCTTTCAATCTTGCTGTAGGAGACTCTTGTTACTGCCAGCTAGTGAACGGTAGGTGGCGTTAGACACAGCGCATAACCCTGTATAACCAACCATCTCACAGAAATCAGAGGTATGCATTATTACTATCTGCATTTTACATGTAGGGAAACTGAAGCACACAACAGTTAAAGTAAGGTGTCCAAAGTTGCACAGCTAGTAGAAGGCTATGTGCTGTGTATTTTTATTATAGTAATAATAATTAACCTCTTATGTGTACAAAGATGTTTACAGGTTACAGGTGGGACATCAGGCGTTCCTATGGAGAAGGCAAGACAGAAAGCATCATCATCACCATCTTCAACCTCATCTTATACACGACTGCCTTGACACGCAGAGAGGTTACTTCAGGCTGGCCTGTAAGTGAGGAGCAGGGTCCAGGACAGGAATTCTGAGGCATCCCCTGCAATGTCCTATCAGGAAAGGCCAGCATGGTTCAAGATCCAGAGATACATCCCACTTCACAAGTGTTGGCCCCTCCAAATGGTCTTTGCTGGGTTGGAGAGAGAAAAATCCTGGCAGACAGCAGTCCAGTAGCACGTCGGGGAGACCCCTCCCCAATTCACACCCCGACCATCGAGCTGGTCCATTCTGGTGGTGCCCTAGGTGGAGGCCCCTCCGAGGGGCTGGCTGAACTCAGAGTTGTGTCCTGCAGAACTCAGTCTACTCCAGGCCAGGCAGCGGGGCAGCCCAGCTGAGGAGCACAGGGCACGTGTGAGAAGACAGTGCACTTGCAGGAGGTAGGGGGGAACTCTGGCTTTGGAGACATCATGCTCTGGGATTCTGATTTGGCAGCTTCTTAGGTTAACAATGATCATCCTGAAGGGCTCTTTGTAGATTAATGAGAAAATTCCAGTTAAGTGCTCAGCTCAGAGTAGGTGCCCAAAAATGTGAATGTCCCTCTGTTCCCTTCTCCATATCCCTCCTGAGCTCATCATTTCATTTTTTTTATAGTAATCTCTAGATGAAACACATATGGATTATTCTTTGTTTGGTGGATTATTTCCAGCAAATGTTCCATTTCAGGTTGACTCCCCTGCCACTCAGGATGTATCAGGACAAGTCAGGATGAACTCAAGTAAACACGAACCACTTTTAATATTTAATAAAACCATCTATTATCAGAAAGGTAATTTGCTATTGCTTTGAGAAAGTAAATTCCAACGCACTTCAGACCTAGGGTTTAACGGCATTTTGCTTTTGCCATTTAAGATTATTTATATATGTTTCCTCCATTAGCAGAGCTACGTGAGGGCCAATTATAATGCCTTTTATAAAATTCAAAACATGTTTTTCATGTATTATAATTATTTTCTCCTATATCATCTCACCTGCAAGTATATCTGTCAAAATACTTAGAAATTGGTTCACGCTCTTAAATGAACTTGCTGTGGCTTGATCTTGGTATCTATTACGTCGACAGGATAGCTGCCATCATGCATGTGGCTTGAGCAGAGTCATCTAAATCTGACTCAACATAGCCCAGTATTCAGCTGATTATTTGTTTCAAATATATAAATCCTTTTGCATACAGCTAATGGCAAAGAGTAGAGGCTTGCCTTAGCAAGGAACACACAAAGCCACCGGGCTGACTTTGGTGTCAGGAATTCCTTTCAAGAAACAGATGGGGCACTTACCTGGTGGCACAGAGGTTAAGAATCCACCTGCCAATGCAGGAGACACGGGTTTGAGCCCTGGTCCGGGAAGATCCCACATGCCGTGGAGCAACTAAGCCCGTGCGCTACAACTACTGAGCCTGTACTCCAGAGCCCATGAGCCACAACTACTGAGCCCGCTCGCCTAGAGCCTATGCTCTGCAACAAGAGAAGCCACCGCAATGAGAAGCCTGCACACCGCAACAAAGAGTAGCCCCCACTCGCCGCAACTAGAGAAAGCCTGTGTGCAGCAACGAAGACCCAACACAGCCAAAAATAAATAAATAAATAATTTTTTTTAAAAAGAAAAAGAAACAGAGGGGAGTACAACTGAAACTAACACAACATTGTAAATCAACTATACTCCAATAAAAATTTTTTTAAAAAAAGGCTACACACAGCATGATTCTATCTGACCTCATCATTTCAACCCAGCAAGTATCAAGGCCATCACTGTGCCAGCATGAAAAATATAATAGTTGAAATAAGGAGCACATTATATACATATATATATATCTACACACATATATATATAATAGCTGAAATGAGAGCATAATAGATGGAATATAGCTAAAACATGAATTAGAAAATCGGAAGAGCAAATTAAAGAACTCTTTAAAAAACAGAAAATATAAAATAAAGCTATAAGATATGGATAAGAAAAATATTAACACTCAGTTAACTAGAGTTCAGGGAGAAAAAGACACACACACAAATTGAGAGGAAGAACCATTTGAATAAATCGTGGAGATCAATCTCCCAGGATTGAAGGGAGGCCAGAGTGGCTGGACCAGCACAAGTAAAGAGAAAAGGGAGACAATCTTTGTGGGGTATTACAGGCCCTGTTGAAGAGTTGTCGAGTTGGTTGGTTGGTTTTGTTGTGTGTGGGGGAGGGGGACTTGCATTTTTTTATTACGTTTTAATTGACGTATAATACAATCCACCCTTTGTTTTGGGGGCCAAACCTGGCCAGGACATTATAAGAAAGAAAAATTACAAGACAAGGTCTCTCATGAACACAGATACGAAAATCCCAAGAGAATCCAATTATTTATTAAAATGATCATAACCATGAGGTCATTTTTTCCAGGGAAAATACAGGTTGATTTAAAATAAGAAAATCAATCAATATAGTTTACCAAATTAACAGAATAATGGAGGAAAACTACATGATCACTTCAATAGATAAGGAAAAGGCATTTGATAAAATTTAAGTTGGTATTTGATAAAGATACTCCAAAAACTAAGGGGAAAAAAATCCCTAGAGCTAACATTACAATTCATAGTGAAATATATAGACTCTTTTCAGAAAATAGTAACAAAGTTTTTGAAAGTTGAGAAGATTAATTTGCAATAGTAGGAATTCCTTGAATATCATGAAATAAGTCTTGTATCTGTAGCCAAATTTCTAAGAGTCTCCCTTCACATAGTCTCAGATTCCAGTGTGAATCATTTTTGTCTCCTGAAAGAAGACGGGTGATGGAGGCAGAAGGCTGCTCTAAGGCACCTGCCTCACAAAATGTAGTCTATACTGGAGGAATGGGAGGAGTGCTGATAGGAGGATGACCTTTCCCAGGCCTCCCTAGAGATTTGTCTCCCTATGTAGAGGAAGATGTGGCTGCAACTTTTCTGAAATATTTCTGAGAGGTGTTTCTTGAATTTCTCACCCATGAACGCATAGATAATAGGGTTCACACAGCAGTGGGTGAAGGAAATGGTTTCTGTGACATGGGTGGCATAGATCAACCGCTGGCTCATGACGCATCCATCCAAGATGTGCATGTTGTGCAGGGAAGTAAGGAAAAGTACTACATTGAACGGGACCCAGAAGAGTAAAGAGAAAACCACCACAACGAGCACGAGCTTGATGGCCTTGGTCTTGTTGTGGCTTTGGCAACTCTTCAGCTGGTGCAGGATGCTAATGTAGCAGAACATAAGGATGGTGAATGGGATCAACAGGCCTAAGATATTCATTTCAAAGTGGATGAAGATCTTCCACTTCAGCGTCTCTTGATTGTAATACAAATAACACTGTAGAACACCATCATCAGAGGCCTCTTGGTAAAATACTAGTAACGGGCTGGTGGCCACGAAGGCAATCAGCCACATTGCCAGACTCAGGGCTATGCCCATTCTGGTCGTCCTCACTTTCATGGCGTATACAGCACGGACAACTGCCAGGTACCTGTCCACACTCATGAGGGTGACAAAGAACATGCTGCTAAAGAAGCCAATGTAATAAAAGCCAGAGACCATCTTGCACATTACAGTCCCAAACACCCACTGGTCCAGCTGATAGTGGGTCTGAAAGGGGAAGGAGAAGACAAAAAGCAAGTCAGACAGGGCCAGGTTCAAGAGGTATATGTCTGTGATGCTCCTCAGCTTCTTGCAGGTGACAAGGACCAGGATGACCAGGCTGTTTCCCAGAAGACCGAATACAAACAGGAGGCAGTAAAAGATGGCAAGAAGCAACTTGCTATCTCTTTGGATAAGTTCCCCATCGCAGGGGCTTGAGATGATATCAGGATAGTAGTAGTCAGTTATTGTCACATTGGGCTCAAGTGTATAATCCATCAAGGCAGGAAGACTTGGCTATAGAGGCACCTAAGAGAGATTCATTTAACAATATTTTTATTTAAAAGTATGGATTGAATTGTGCCTCTCGCCCCTCCCAAGTTCATGTGTTGAAGCTCTAAAGTCCTGTTATGGTCTAATTGTGTCCTTCCAAAATTTGTATGTTGAAACCCTACCCCCATTTTGACGGTATTAGGAGGTGGAGCCTTTACAAAGTGATTGGATTAGGTGAGGTCATAAGGGTGGAGCCCTCATGAATGGGATGAGTGCCCTTATAAGAATCACAGGAGAGCTTGCTTCCTCTCTCTGCTCTAGGGTTTGTGAGGATACAATGGGAATTTGGCAGTTTGCAGTCTGGAAGAGGGCTCTCACCAGAACCTGACCTGGTACCTTGATCTTGGACTTCCCAGACTCTAGAACTGTGAGAAATAAATTTGTTGTTTGTCAGCCACCCAGTCTATGGTATTCTGTTATAAGAGCCCAAACTGACCAAGACACTCCCAATGTCACTATATTTGGAGACAGGCCATTAAGGAGGTAATTTAGGTTAAATGAGATCATCAGATGGGACCCTAATCCAATCGGACTGGTGTCCTTGTAAGATGAGGACAAAGTGTGAAGGCAGCCCAAGAGGCTCTCACCAGAAATCCAATTTGTTAGCACCTTGCTCTTGGACTTCTAGCCTCCAGTACTGTGAGAAAATAAATCCCTGTCATTTAAGCCACCCAGCCTGTGACATTTTGTGATGGCAGCTTAAACAGACTAATACAGGGGCTACATGGGACCTCTCTGCCTTTTCTACCCAAATTTTCAAATTTTCTGTAAACTTAAAACTTCTCTAAAAAGTACAGCCTATTAGCGCTTTTTAAAAGCTGAAAACTGCCTGGGCTGACTAATACAGAGGGGTTGTGTGGGATAAGAAAAGCCAAACTTTGCAAAGAAAACTTAAATACCTATATTTCTACCCCTCAGAATTAGCAATTGCTAGCATACTGCCATATTTGCTTTTGATTCTTTTCCTTTTCTTCCCTTCCTTCCTTCTACAATGGAGATAAAGTGAAAGGAAGACTCAACATTTAAAACATGATCATTCTCTTATATTCAGGAAAGACGCATATGCCCTTTTTGGCCAACTGCAGCAATGGCCAAGTTCAGCTGCTTTTCATGTGCTTCAATGGTGACTCGAATCAACCTCTTGAAATCCCTTTCCTGCAATTCTGCCTTGTTTTCAAGCCCCTTTCGATGACTTTCCTCAAGCCATTTTTCGACGATAGGTATCATTTACAACCCTGCAGGTTTGTGAATTGCAGTACCCCTGACCTCCATTTTTTTTTTTTTTTTGCGGTACGTGGGCCTCTCCCTGCTGCGGCTTCTCCCGTTGCGGAGCACAGGTTCCAGACGCGCAGGCTCAGCGGCCGTGGCTCACGGGCGCAGCCGCTCTGCGGCATGTGGGATCCTCCCGGGCCGGGGCATGAACCCGTGTCCCCTGCATCGGCAGGTGGACTCTCAACCACCGCGCCACCAGGGAAGCCCCTGACCTCCATTTTTTAACTTGCTTTTGTAGGAACTGGCCCCAAAACAGCAGGATTGCTGCAAGCCCTAATCTGATTCCAGGGGCAAGCTGAGCCTTTGGTCAATTCGTCTTCCTGATTGGAAATTAGAGTGACATGTGCCTGTCCAAACACCTAGGGCTTGTTTCTCATTGGTTTCCCCCATTCCCCTTCATCCTCCGGACAGATTCCAAGCTGTTCGAAACAGGATGTTGAAGGTGCGCATTCTCCAAGTGGGGAGATTGTTAGGAAAGAGGCCGGTGGGGAGAATGTGAGCACCAGGAAACGAGGAGATGAGGCAACTTTTCCACACTCTTCCTGATCAGACGATGTACCATCCCCTGGGTGTCCCATGCATGTTTCAGCGGTAGGACAGTTCCCCTGCACCTGGAGTTTTGGGACCCATGGAATGGGGGGCAGGCAGTATTACTCTTAAGTGGCTACATTTGCTGACCCATCCTCACCAATTCTCTCAGCCCCACCAGTGCCCAGCCTTAGGTCTCATCCAGCTGTGGTTTTAGTGTGGTCAATCCTGGTTGCATCACACCCCCTGAATGTATTTTGTAAGTATTTATCTGTCTCTCACTGTGTTTGATTTTTTTTTTAATTTCCTTTATAATGGGGTATAGCTGATTTTCAATGCTCTGTTTCTTGCTGCTGTACATCCACTTACAGAGAGACATTAATAAATTCATTTCAGAAAACAAACAAACAAACAAAAACATGATCATTCTCCTCAAACTGATATTTATATTCAAGGCAATTTCAACCTAAACTTATTATTTTTCCGAGGCATTTGATTATTGATCATTCAGACATCCCTATCCACTATGCCACATTTCTATAACTTGAAATGCCAAGCAAGTTAGCCATTTAAAAAATATTAATTTCACTATGTACGCAAAATAGATTTTAAAACAGTTTCTGAAGTACGGAGGTGGGTCTTTTTTTTATGTGGCCAGCAACTTTCAAAACAACAGTCTCCCCTCCTACATCTTCCTCCCTACTTGTCTTTTACAGTTATTTTTAAAAACAATTTCCATTTCATGGTCCTTCTCTTCTTCTCTCCTAAGATCCTGGACTATGAGGAGGTCTTCAACTCATTTGCTTCCCCAGATCCTTCCTACTGACGCCCACTCCACACTTCCCCCGTGCTCTTTTATCCTTAAAATCTGTGGAAAGTATTAGCAAGCTCTACCACTTATCACAGTGGACCAGGAATTTTAGATGCATCACCTCATTTATTCCTCTTGAATCCCTATGAAGCAGGCACTAATATCTCCTTTCTATTCCTGCAGTTACGATTATACCGAATCTCAGCTTCTGTCCAGTGCCTGAAGTTACACAGGGGGTGAGAGATTAGAGCCAGGACTCAAAAACCACATCTGTCTACTCCAATCCTTGTTCTTTTCCATATTTCTCTATTTCGTGTGTTTAAAGAAAAAAAAAAAGAGTAAAAAGCTCTTACCTTTTAGAATCTAGACCACCTGACTTCCAAGTTCTAGATTAGTTTGTAGCAGAGTAAACTTGGACTTGTTTTTCAAACTGAGTTTCAGGTTCCCCTCTGTGGAAGGGGGCTAAGAATGCTTTTCAGGGGTTGGTGGGACGTGCCTGAGGTCACTGAAGTTAGCATCTAGTTAGGGATGAACGTTTGCCTGCCAGCTTTGTTCCTTGAGAACAATACCCACACGTCTTCCCGTTATCTCACAGATGCACTGTACACAGCAAATGGACAGATTCCTCCCCAGATGCCTGGTGACAGGAGGGATCTTTTCTTATCCACCTTCCCACTCTTGGAGGGGCTTTGACACCCTCCGAGCATCCTGCAGAGAAAAATGGCATGGCTTTCTTTCCTCCACCAGAGCCACGGACAGCTATTAAGACATATGCAGGGTTTGTAAACTCTGGGGATATGCAAAGAAAAAAAAAGTCACCTCTTGTGCCAGATTTCTGAAGTCACGGTGTTCCCTTTGCCTGCCCCCAGGGACATAAAACTGTCCCTGCTTCGTACATCCTTCTTCCCCAAGGATGCTTAGTAATACATACCTTAATTAGAGCCTTCTTTCCAGAGGTTTTCAGTGTTGCTAATTCCCTTTTCTCAGAGTCTGCGCTGTCATGTGTTCTGCTCAGACGAGAACAGCTCCTCTGCAGGTATCTTATCTGTGGTGAGTGGCAGAATAGGGGTGGGTCTACTATCGCACCCTGCAGTGATTTAAAAAGTTTAAAAAGATGATCTCATATAGAGAACAAACTAGTGGTTACCAATGGGGAGAGGCAAGTGGGGAGGGGCAATGTAGGGGTAGGGAATTAAGAGGTATGAACTATTAGGTATAAAATAAGCTACAAGGATATCACGTACACATGGAGAATACAGCCAATATTTTATAATAACTATAAATGGAGTCTAACTTTTAAAAATTGTGAATCACTATAGTGTACACCTGTGATATGTAATATTGTACATCAACTATACTTCTTTTTTTAAAAAAATGCTTAAAAATCATATATAGTGACAGCACACACAAAAAAACTAAAAATTAAAAAATAGATCTCACCAAAGAACACATACAGATGGCAAATTAGCATGTGATAAAACATTATTTCACTAGGGAATTGTAAATTAAAGCAACAGTGAGTTACTGCCACACACTTGTGATGTGGAAGAATGGCTAAAATCAAAACAGCAAATGCTGGAGAGGGAGAAGATTAAGAGGAGCTCTCATTTATTGCTCATGGAAATGCAAACTGGTATAATCACTTTGGAAGACAGTTTGGTAATTTTTTATAAAGCTAGAATAGGCTTACCATATAATCCAGTAATCATGCTCCTGATTTTTACCGAAATGAGTTGAAAACATATCCACACAAAAACCTGAGCATGAATATTTATAGCATCTTTATTTATAATTGTCAAAAATTGGAATTGACCAAGATGCCCTTCAATAGATGAATGGATAAACAAACTGTGGTAATGTATACAATGGCATGTTATTCAGTGATTTTAGAAAACCAGCTATCAAGCCACAAATAGAAGTCTTAAGTGTATATTGTTAAGTGAAAGAAGCCTGTATGAAAAGGCTACATGCCATATGACTCCAACGATAGGACATTTTGGAAAAGGCAAAACGATTGAGACAGTAAATGATCAGTGGTTGTCCGGGGTTCAGGGGCAGGGGGATGATTCTTCCAATCCAAGAGCACGAGATATCGTTCCATTTCTTTGAATCATCTTCAATTTCCTTCATCAATGTTTTATAGTTTTCAGAGTATACGTCTTTCACCTTCTTGGTTAAAGTTTATTCCTAGGTGTTTGGTTTTTTTTTGTGGTACGCGGGCCTCTCACTGCTGTGGCCTCTCCCGTTGCGGAGCACAGGCTCCAGACGTGCAGGCTCAGTGGCCATGGCTCACAGGCCCAGCCGCTCCGCGGCATGTGGGATCTTCCCGGACCGGGGCACGAACCCATGTCCCCTGCATCGGCAGGCGGACTCTCAACCACTGCGCCACCAGGAAAGCCTCTTTCCTAGGTGTTTTTTAAATGCAATTTTAAATAGTAATTTTTTAAACTTTCTCTTTCTGATATTTCATTTTTCGTGTGTAGAAACGCAACAGATTCTTCCTTACGGTGGCAAGAAGAGGTGTTTCAGGAACAGAATTGTGAAGTGATGAACACATGGTTTATTTCTGCTGGTTGAGACCAGGCCAGTGGGATAAGTTCGGTCATCTGCATGGAAGAGAGTCTCTTGCCTCAATATCGAGAGGCAAGAACCTAACTGGGCCTGACAAAACCAGACCAACTTGGTTAACTTACACAAAGGTCTACAGCCACAAACACCTTTACTGTGGCGTTCAGGCTGTCCCAGGAAGGCAACAGAGAAAGGGGGCCCATCCCTCTGGCTTTTGTGGTCCAACAGATAACAAGTGACAAACTCTCCCCACCTGCCAATCATAGGTGCTCATCACCCTCCAATGAGGAGCAGGAAGTGAGGAGAGAGGTGGAACCAGAGCTGTCCTTTCCAATACTGCTCCCCCTCCTGGAGGGATGTGGAAGTTCCTCGTGGAAACACAGGGCGCGAGGTAAGAATTCTCACATGCAGATGACGCCCATCACTGTTACACTTCAACTTCTTTCTTTAGATGCAATTTAGAATGCTTATGTACTCCTGTATGCCTTGTTTCATGACCTCTACATCCAATCTCTTTTGTCTGCAATCTCATCTCATAGAAATATCTGCTGGTGCCTGAGTTCATATCTAAGTAACTCCCCTCACCCACATCATTTACATGCTGATGCAGTTTGGGGGAAACCTCAGATCTTTTATAAGAGTTTTGTATGTGATAAGCAAAGATCAATGGTTCACAGAAAGTGAGACTCAGGGCCCACAGATATTGGTGATTCACTTCACGAGGGCGGGGACTATGATACGTGTTTCACCTGAAGTTGTGGAAGGAGCCGTGGACCTTTCCCCAGCTCAGCCAAGCAGGCCTAAGGGACTTGGTGGAATTCTCCCAAAGCCGAATTCCAGGATGGGCTAGAATGACAGCATGGGACTTGGCGCAGATGTCCTTGCTTTATGCAGGGTAACTGAGTAGGGGCTGAGGGAAGTCAGGGGGAGTGGGCTGGCCTCCATCCTGCATGTTTCCTCAACTCCACAAAACTGGGCCACTTGGTAGAGGCCAAGTTTGACTGAGCGACTTGACTTGGGAAGAGGTGATTCTGGGGCTCATTTATACACCAAGGAGTCTTTACTATGAGATTGCATTTAGGGTCCACTTGGATAATTCAGGATAATCTCCCTATCTTAAGATCCTTGACCTAATGACATCTGCAAAGACCCTTTTTCCAAATAAGGTTACTTTTACAAATTCCAGAGATTAGGACTTGACATCTGTGGGTGGCCTTTATTCAAATTACTATACCCTGGCTTTAAAGACACAGACTGTGACAGAGTTAAAGAGAAACCTTCGTTCCTCACCTTTGGGCACACAGCAGGGATCCTAGCATCCTAGAAGAAGGTACCAAACTACACAGACAAGGTCATGTAAGGCCCGCAGAATCAATGGTCTTTCCAAGTCCACCTTCTGTTGCACGGAAACATTCACCAGGTTCTGGAAGGAATACCCTCAGGGATGGACATGTTTTTTAAAAAAAACGTTTGACAGAGGTAAGAGAAAGAATTTAAATTCTCTAGGACACAGAAATGCTAGATTGGATCTACCAGAGAAGTCCCATGTAAGTCCAACTCTGTCATGTCCCTCCAAGAGTCCAGAAGACTTCCCTTCACCTCAGAATGAAAAAGATTGATGAAGGAAACCCCGAAATTCTTATAAAGTGCTGTGCTGGGGACTGACTATAGTTGAAATGGGCTCACAGCACCACAGTCAGTGGGGACAGTAAGAGCCTGGGGTGTTGAGGCAGGACAGCTAACTACTGCCGTTGTTAGGACAGAGTGTGGGGTGGGCAAGCTAATCACAGATTGGGACAACACGTTGGGCCAATGTCTCTGGCTAAGTGGGTTAATCATGGGATTCATGGGAACAAACTAACAGGCAGTTACAGATATTTTGCTTGATTTGTGCATCCAAGGAAATTGATCTGGCAAAGAGATCTAGCCTGAGCTTTATGTTAGAGATGCAATCATGCAGTCCCCAGATGTGCGTCAGCACAGAGTCAGAACTCCTTTAAAGGAAAGATGGGAGGACATCTTCCGAAATGTGAGTTATCTTCCTAGATATCTGACAACCTTGGACAGCTGGTTCCCCTTGAGCCTCCTTTGCTATCAGAAGCAGCTCCACCTCCTCTAGCAGACTAGGCTAGCCTTCTCTCACTTTAAGATCTTACAATAACCTCCTCAGAGGCAGTTACCTTGCAATAGGATATCAATTCTCCACTTGACAAATAATAGATCACAGCATCTTCTATCTCCTTTCCTCCAAAATGAAAAGAAAGAAAAGACTGTGTTTAAGTCAACTCTCAGTGTAAATGCATAAATTAGTACTATCACATATACTTGCCATAGAGCATTGGGCAGAAAGTGACCTCAGGTCATCAAATCTAACTCTTTCTTTATAAATGGGAATATTAAGCCCAGAAAGGAAGTAACTCCCCACAAAAACACTCAGTAAGTTGGTGGTTGAGCCAGAGACAGAACTCAGGTCTTCTGAAGCATAGCCTAGGGTTCTTTTCACATGACACTGTATTTTAAAAATTCTCATGTGATAGTATTACAGAGTTGTGGATAAAAGTAGGGGGAATCTTTTTGGGTTTTCTACTTTTTCCAACTATAAGTCCACCCATGATTTTCAGGGTACAAAAGCATTTGCTTAACAAAAAGTGGTAGACAGAAACCTGAGTTTAATAAAAGCATATGTGTTATTGATAATAAAGCCAGTTTATCAGAAACTTTTTTGCCATCTATATAATTTAATTTTCCACATAGATTACCCCCCCCAAAAGCTACAATAAATAGATTTTTTTTCTTACTGATAAATATTTATTTCCTGTATAAGAGTGGTCAGGAACATTGCCTGCATACAATCAAAGGTACAACTGCAATATTGCTTTGAAGTGTTGAACATGGAGATACATGTGTGGTTAATAGTATAATATATGTACTTTTAGTTGCATTTTCAGGAAACTTATGCTATATTGTATGCATGACCTGATTAGACTTCTTAGCCTGTAACAGGGTTCTTTATTCCAGAATTTACCTTCTACTAACATTTTTGTTTTTTTCAACACTACAAACACTTACTGAGGACCTAGCATATTCCCAGCACTGCTCTAGTCATTAGAAGAGATAAAAAGGTGAAATTATATGATTCCCCCCTTTAGGGGTTTAGCAAACAATGGTACTTTCATCACAGGAGTCCCAGGAGGTAACGGCTCTCTGAAGAATGATGAATAATGAAAGGAAAAAGTCATTGTGAAAACTATGTAGAAATCCAGGAAAATCTTTATGATTAGAAAAGCAGATTAAGGTGGCATATATGCTACGTTTGTCCGTGCCAAGACACGGATGGATGTGATCATATTCTAGAATGAAACAGGCAGAAATTAAAGTCAAATATTAGACTGTTCTTTATTTTGAAAGTTTTCTTTAATAATGATATGTTGTCGGGACTTCCCTGGTGGTCCATTGGTTAAGAATCCGTCTTGCAAC